GAGCGCCGCCACACTCCCAAGCGGCGCACTGTAGCAGTGCGCCACCGGGCCGGCCCCCAGTGTGATGTTCTTAATACAACTCAACCATACACTCAAAAATGGTTAAGATAATAAATCTTATGTGTATTTTAATCACAATTATTTTAAAATTTAAAAAAAAAGGCTGGCCGATTAGCTCCGTTGGGTAGAGCACAGCCTTAGAACACCAAGGTCACAGGTTCAGACCTACCACACACACACACACACACACACACACACACACAAAGTATTGTCTCATCACAGCAACAAGAAAGCCCTGAGCACTGCTGAATGAATAAACTACTACTCAAAGACCAGGAGCACAAGTTTTAAAAAAGAAAAAACATACAAGGCCCTTTCCATGTAATAATACTGTACAACGGAATTTCACTGTTATTCAATATATCTACATCCAAAATTAAGGTAGGCTTACGAGTAATCGACTATGAAAACTGAGAATTTTGAATCATAATGGAAATTCCAATTTCTACTATGATTTTTCCTAATGCAAACGTGCCAGACACTACACCAGGCATGGAATTCTCCCAAATACTGATCTCTATTGCAAATATATGCACAAATCACATATATGCCCAAGAGAGAAAAGCCACCTACATACAAGATCACCTTAATGAAATTTAAAGTGTCATAGGTTACAGTATTAGCAAAATGTATATTGCTATTCCATTAGCACTAGGAGAGCAGAGAACTTTGGAGCCCAGCACCAAGTCCACCAAGTTGGGGCTTGTGGTTCTAGCACTGGCTTATCACTCTGCGTGACCATAAATGATTCACATTGAGGCTTACACTTCTCTTTTGTTAAAGGCTACAGTTGAAACTAACAATATATAAAATCTCATCATTCACAAACCCATCATTTAGTGAGGACTTCCCATGTGCCAAGCTCTGTATAGATGAAAAGACAGGATCCCAGGGCCGGCCCGGTGGCGCACTGCTACAGTGCGCCACTTGGGAGCGCGGCGGCGCTCCCACCGAGGGTTCGGATCCCACATACAGACCGGTTCCCGCTCACTGGCTGAGCGAGGTGCAGGTGCAACACCAAAGGTTGCCATCCCGTTGCCGGTCCCGGTCCGGTCCGGTCCGGT